CTATTCACCATATGTAGAATAACATCCATGTATGTTCTGATTGCTAGTGTTGTGCGTCAAATGGATTGTTTAACATGTTTCTTTGAATGGTGATTTAGATAGGAAAATCTACATGGGACAACCTATAGGGTTGTTATTCCTGAACATGCTTAGGGAGTCTATAGTTAGACAAATCATTGTAAGATTTGAAATAGACTCTAAGACGATGGCATGAATAAACTGGTTCTCTCCCATGGTTTTAAAAGTGAAAGTGACAAGTGCATTTAGTACAACTTTGAGAATGACACTTGCATTATGAATGACACGTCGATCTTTGGTACAAAGACTCGTGATGTCAATATTGAAAAACCATGATGGTTGAGAATGTTGAATGTGAAGGATCTGAATGAAACGAATGTTATGCTTAGAGATCCTAATAACTAGGAAATACGAGTTTTACATCTGCATAAATGTTTGATGGTGCTAGTATAATTTATAAGAGCACCAAAGACGGTGTAAGAAAGTAAGAACATACTAGCATCGACAGTCTGCGAGAGGCAGCTGATAAACATGAGACCCGACATAGTGGGGGTACTTGGCAGGCTTACTGATTGTCCTAGTATGAAGCATTGAAATGCTATTGAAAGGGGTCATGAGACACCTTAAAAGAACAGAAAAAACCTTGGTAATTGTTATCAAAGGTTTTGTTGTATTGGTAGGGTATAATGATGCGGATTAGAATACCCTATAGAGGACTCCAAGACAACAAGAGGCTGTGTTTTAAACATCGATAGAGAAGCTATGTCTTGGAAGTCTAAGAAGTAAACAATCCTGGCTCAATCAACTAAGAATCAGAAATGATAGAACTAGCAATGGCTAGTAAAGAGGAAAGTTGATTGAGAGGGTCATTACTAGAGATTCCCTTATGGGAAAGACCGATCCCTCCGGTAGTTGATTAATTGTGATAGCACCGCAGCTATTACTAAAGAAGGGAACCGGTTCTAGAACGAAAAGAGACGACAAATTCGTCGTAAGCACAGTACTGTAAGAGAACTCCTAACGATAGGAGCAATGAGGGTGGATCGTGTAAGATCCTAACAGAATCTAGTTGATCCTTTGACGAAAGGATTATCTAGAGAGAAAGTCCAAAATACCACGAAGGGTATGAGACTTATGCCTACCGAACCATGGATTACAAGTGATGGTAACCCGACCCGATAGACTGGAGATCCCAAGAAACGGGTTCAATGGGTAATAACAAGTCATGAGTAATATTGAGAAAAGTTCATGCATAGTGAAGCATGAATCCCAAAGCCTTGGAGGTTGAGTTAAAACTCTTAATGAGATCTATACTCTATGTGGAGTGAAGTACTTTACTTTGGGGGTACTCCTGATAGACTCACCTATGTGAATGTGGGAGTGAGGCCGCTCCCTATGGAACTTTGGAGGCACAAAGTTGCTAGAGCGTTCACTAAACCGGGATAACGTGCATGGCCATAAACGCACGGCCTATGAGAGAATATCACTCAATGAAAAGATCCGGCGTGCTACATTGTCTGAGATAGGGTTCAAGACTATGAGTCACCCTTATGAAATCGGAAGTGTAACCACTACGCTAAGGTTCAAATCTTCGCGATACCTTAGTTTATGCCCGATCTTATGGAACTGTTGATGCTCAGAGATAGTTTCAAACTATTCAAGTGGGGGATTGTTGGGATGAATAGCTTTGAAAAGCTATAATGAAATTCCAAATTAATTATCCAGTATTTTCCCATAATACGAAATTAAGATGGATAATTAATAAAAGGAATATTATGAAGATAATTAGAAATAATTATCTTAATAGATTATATTTTAATTGTGGGAGTAATTATCTCCCTAATTAAAATATGACTTATTCCCAAAGAAAGAGGGAATATTCTGGGTTTTCTGCTCCTATAAATAGGAGACGCCCCAGACCCTCTAAACACACCTCAGAGAGCAGAAACACGAGATAGAGAGTGAGTTCATAGAGCTCCGATTTTCGCACAAAACCGATGAGCAACAAAACAAGAATGGTTGTTTTATCCTGGAGGCGACCGGCTGATAGTCTGCCGTGCGCAACGAAGGCAGTGCCGCGAACGTCTTAAAGAGAGCGACCTAGTCCGCGACTCAGCCAGATCGGTAACACTGATTTTTTATGTTCGATTTCTAACAAAGCAAAATCCATCTTGAAGTTGGGGGCTCGAAAGAACATGAGAAGTGGTAGATCGATCTCATTGGAAAAAGACCCTTGGATTCCAGGTATCCCCAACTTTAAGTTGCAGCCGATGAGTAGGCAACAACTGTGGGCTTTTCAATGGGTTATGGATGATGGGTGTGAATGGAACCTTGACATTATCCAACAAAGCTGCTCTACGGATGAAGTGGAGGCTATTAAGAGAATCCCAATTGGCACGGATTCTTCTGATGATGACTGGGTTTGGCATTTTGAGAGATCAGGGTTGTTTTCTGTGAAATCAGCTTATCATATTTTCAGGGAGTCAGAAAGAGATCGCCTGGGGACCCCAAATCCGAATCATCCTAACTGCACCTCAAAAGCTTGGAAATGGCTTTGGAGTCTTTCTTTGCCTCCAAAGATCCTCTCTTTTCTGTGGAGGATATCGAGGAATGCGATTGCTACGAAGGGGAATCTATGGCATAGAAAATGTCTTTCTTCCCCGCGTTGCGATGTCTGTGAAGGGGAAGTGGAGGATGTGTGGCACTGCTTCTTCCAGTGTCCTCACGCTGCTAGAGTTTGGCAGATCCTTCAGCCTTCGCTCTCGTTGCCCCAGGACCAGACGCCTGTTGTTATGTGGTTGTTTTCTATCTGTGTTGGTTCCCCTATAGTCTCTATTCCTGGGGTCGTGGCTTGCCTTTGGGCAATCTGGTTGGCCCGGAACGAGAGAGTCTTTAAAGGTGTCATCCCCCGTCCTACAGTGACTTCAGCAAATGCAGTTAGAGATTTCTCTTTTTGGACGAATCCCCTTCAGCATCCTACCCCCCTCGGTGTCCAAGCCCAACACCTCTCTAACCATAACACACTTCGCCCACCGCCTAGTTCTTCCCCGTGGGAAATTCACTGTGATGGATCTTTTAGATCGGAATCACAGGTGGCGGCTTATGGGGTCATCATTAAGAACTCCCATGGGCAAGTTGTGGATGGTTGTGTTGGCACTTTCTTCTGTTTCATCAGCGATTGTTGCGGAAGCAAAAGCTCTATTGACGGCGGTGAAAGCAGCAGTCTCCCTCCACGGTTCAGCCTCTATCTTCTCGGACTGTAAGTTGCTTGTGGATATCATTCAAGATCAGCATAAAGTAGGTCCTTGGCAAGTGAGAGCTTGGATTCAGTGGATACGCAATTTGCTCAGAGTGAAAGTCGGATTATCTATCTGCTTTACCCCAAGATCTTGTAACAGAAGTGCAGATTGGGTGGCAAAAGAAGCGGCAAACGGATCTCTCCCCCAAGATTGGATCCAAGTGCTTAATATTATTGATCCGATGTTGTAATGTGGCTTTGCTTGTACTTTTTCGTTGATGAAATGGAAATCACATATTGTAAAAAAAAAAAAAAACATGTGTGTTCGATTCTAATGAACTCTTCAAGTGATAAGTTAATCATGGTTTTGATTGGTTTTACATTCTTTCATAAACAATTATAGTGCTAAAGATGATAAGCATATAAGTCATATAGAACAGTAATTTTTTTTCAAAGATAATGACGAATTTTATTGCAAAAAGAGAGGAAAAGATACGAAAACTGTACAAAAATGCAAAGCCAAATACAACAAAGGACTCCTGTAAAAGATTTTCAGGTAAGGAGTTAAGAGATAGCAATAGGTCGGGTCGGGGTGGATAGTGCATGCATATTCGTTATCCTATTTAAAGTAGTTCGGTTTCACTCATACTCATATCCATTTAAGAATCAGGTAGAAAATTAAAATCATGTACATACTCATCCGAGTTTCGGGTATCTACGGTTATCCATGGGTAGTAATTTCTCTTTACAGTTTCAACTCATATGTTAACATTCACACGTATACTCACATGACATAAGATGAAAAATGTGAAAATAAATCACTAGATGAAGAAAATTAATTAAAGTAACACAATTTCATGAAATATAAAATATGTTAGAGAAAAAATAATAATATTTCTAGACAAAATACATATGTAGGTGTATAATCGGGCGGGTTCGAGTTGGATAGTGAGAAAATCATGCCCACCCATTACCCGCGATATTCAGGTTCCGCTTTTACCCATATCCACTAAAAATGATTCGGATTCGGGTTTTACCCTACCCGATTAGGTCGGATTCAGAAAGATATCCATGGTTACGGATATTTTTGCCATATGTTAGTCATCTTGAACCATATTATTATCTCTACTTCTTTTTGTATGATTATATATTATTTAGAATTATGTTGCAATTTTAGGGTTAATTGAACTTTTTTTAATTATTTGATAGTGTTGGCTAATTAGATATAATAATATTTTAAGTAAATTATCAGTCGTATATATATTATAGTAATTTAGAAATTACAAAATACTATTTTTCCTAAACCTAATCTATAATTTTCTCAATCTCGGCAGAGCTCTCTCCCTCCCCTTTCAAACTCTTGCATGTTCCTCCCTAAAAACTCCCCCCCAAATCTACCTCTAATTCTCCCTAAATTCAACCGTAATCCTCGATCTCTTCATTTTATGTTACACTACGAGTTTTAAAGGCGACTCTAAAGATCATTTTCCTAGGCCCTGTTTACTTTCATTTCTGTTTCCTGTTTTTGAGAAAACAGATGTTGAAAACAGGTGAAAACGACATTTTTTCGTTTTCGAAAACAGTAGGAATTTGCCACTTTCTGTTTTCAAAGTTGGAAACGAATAGAAAACAGAATGAAAAGTAAACATGTTTTCTCGTTTCGTTTCCCAAATTTGTAACATGAAAACAGAAAACAGGAAACGAAAATGGAAGTGAACAGGGCCCTAGTGTAAGAAATTCATAAAACACGTAAATTACACACTTCATTGAATAGCAAAATTACAACTTAACCATATTCCAAACACAACATCATTACAACAATCATACTTCATTAGTACCATTGCACCCTCATTATTGAAATTGAAATACAAACATACATATACGATTAGACCTTATTCGTACTATATTTTTTTTTATAACAACATGGTCCCTCACACGTTACAACAATCGTACATGCACAAAGCAATTATACACTCAAACTTGATCATCATCAGGTCAACCGTTTTCCAAAGCTAATTATTGTTGCTGTTGGACGGGAGGAGGTTGAATCCCGTGGGGACGAGCTGAGTAACCCTGAGGAGGCCGACGAGGATGTCGCCGACGAACTGAAGTGGGGAAGAGAGGAGGCCGCCGACGGAAGGCAGGGTGGCGTTGCAGGTGGAGAGCGGAGTTGTGACTCTCACGCTGCAGTCGTTTAAGAGCGTGGTGAGAATGAAGCGGAGAGGATCCAAGAGGATGGAGAATATACCAGCTGCGTTTGTTGTTGTGGTTGATATTATAGTGCCTCCACACTGCAATTGCACACCTGCATCTGTATAACAACGAAGATAGTATGCAACAGCTGATCAGTGTCATGGTTTTGGTATAGCCTCATAAATAAACGAAAAGATCCTTGTTTTAGTGTAGGATTTGACTAGGAATATTGGGTATTTGATACCTGTTTCGTGGATATCGTTGAATTTTAACGAGATATAGTTTGGTTAGGATCGAGTTTTCTGATTAGCTCGAATTAGGAGTTCGCGGAAAAAAAAATTTATTCAAAATTCAAATTCGTCGAGTCGAGATTTCAAAAACCACTTAGACATAAAAGCTGATCGATGAGGTTTGGAGGTTCTTCAGATTCAAGAACAATCTTAAAGAATTATTATTCTCAAACATTTTTTCCCCATATATTCTCTTCTAGTTTGTACGTTAAATTGTGTGACGGAATTAAATATTTTAGAGCTGTCGCATAATTCTTGTAATACTAGGATAATCAATTTTTAGAAGCAAATGTAATACTAGGATAATCCATATTTGCATAATCTTATCACAAATCGAAGTATTACTGTGTGTGAAAACGGGGAATATAGCATAATCATGAAAAAAATCAGAGAAGTATGAAGAAATTTGTGTGGTGGCCTACTGGCCTTATTTTGTTGCTTACTTGGGAAAACAGGGGTGGCAGTGCCGTTTGCACCCATGTTGCCATTGGCGGTGCAAAACACAGTGCCATGGACGTTGATCAAGCCCAAAAGCCCGCTGATGATCCCCAGCTGGGCCTCAGCAGCCATTGGGCCGACCGCTACGGCCGCCATGATCAAGAGGGAAACCAGGAACAGAGTTCTAGCTTTCGACGCCATTTGCAGGGAAAAAAAGAGGAATCACTACGGTGTTTTTTATTTAACGATACTGTGTTTTCTTTTTTGCAATTTGCATGCATATTAATGTGGAGTTATGTCGTTCTATTTATAGAAGTCCAATAGGGCAAGTTGGCGCGCGATTTGCTTACTAATTTGCTGTCTAGGGTTTCGTCGTGACTTGGAGACTAGGGCTAAGCTAGGATTGTGGAGGGATGATTTGATTAGCCGACCCTTATAATGTAGGACTTGTCTGGATTATAATGCCCTAGATTTTGGGGCATTTGAATTAGGATTTGGAGAAGCACATTGCTAGCTTAGGATGGGTTACTTCTTGACATGCTCTATGTAGCTCTATTGCATGCATTGATTTTATGTATACCATAGCTAGCTAAGTAAGCTAACCATTTATGACCATTGAAAGGTTATCTAAAGTTTGGAAACATATAGTGGAAGCGGTTGCAAGCCCAACAGATTTGTAGTCCAACGGTATTTTAGGAGGGGGAAAGTTAATCTGCTAACTTTGAATGTTGGTTAGCAGATATTAACTAATATCCAAAATACATGAACTAATATCCAAGTACTAAAGTATTTAGAGAGCACAAACTAGTATTCAAAGTTTGCTAACTGATATCCACTATTATCCCAAATGCACAAACTAATATCTAGACCACACAAAATAGTATCAAAACAACACATAATTAGTATCCATATAACACATAAGAGTATCCAGATAACCATAAGAGTATCCATATTGAATACTAGTTGGTTGGTTGTGGATATTAGTTGATATCTGCTATATGAATACTAGTTTATGATGTTTTGAATACTAGTCTGTGTTATCTAGATACTTATCATACTTGGATATTAGTTCATACATTTTGGATATTAGTTAGTATATACTAACGAATCTTCAAGTTAGCAGAATAACTAGACTGTTAGGAGGGGATGATTCAACGGACTCTACCGAAAGTGTTTTTCCCCTCTTTTGTCCCCCCCCCCCCCTCTTTTGAATAGAGTAGTTATTGTAGGTTTTCTATTCAGTGTACTAGTTTAATTATGGAAACATATCTCCTATTGTGTCAAATTATTTGTGCAAACTAGTTTTTATTTCTAAAATGGCATCGAAGATATCACTAAAGCACAAATATATCAAAGGTAAGGAGATAGTTTGATCTAGGCAAAAATACACTTGTATAGCCATAACTTTCACGTTTGTGACAAATATAGCCATAACTATCTGAAAACACAAAATAGCCTAAATATTGAATGGTCGTGTGACAAATCTAGCCATTTCCGTTAGAAACTTTAACAGTGTTAGAAACTCCGTCAGTTAGGATAACGTTAGGCTGACTAGGATGCCAAATCATCTCACACATCAGCATATTATTGCCACATCCTTGCCGTCGTCGTGGATACCACGAGCTCCCCGGCAGTGGGATTGAAGTCGAGCTCCTCCAAACATATCCTTCTCCGCTTGGCAAATAACATTTCTCTATAGTACACACTTCACTGCTTCACTGAAAAATCACAGTAAAACAGAACAACCAGGCAGCCATGAATAATTTCCCACTAATTCTCTGTTGCATCCTCTTCAATTTGGTGCTTACCACCTAACCCACCCTCCAAAAATCGCCACAGCCCACCTCCCCCAACCAGTAGCATCATCTTCACCACTCTCGGCCAATCCAGCTACGCTTTCGACCTCTTCACTCTCTCCACGCACAACCTCACCCCACCGTCTCCATCCTCCGAGCTCTGCCTCACCGATGGCGCATCCGTCAACTTCAACGACCACTTTGTCTCCCCATCTCCCGCTCTCCTCTCTCTTTCCACCCAACCATCTCTCCTACAACAACCCTTTCTCTAATAAAAAGAACCCTAACCACCACCAATAATGGCGGCAACACCTCCTGCCCCCCTACTTCTTCTCGATTCAAGCTCGACGTCTATCTGGAAACGGGAAGTGAAATCGATTGACTGACGAATCTCCTCGATTCATCGCCAATTTTGCAAGACCATTCCCCTTCTTCCCTTCGCTTCATCATCGTAATGGCCAAAGATTCTTCGCCACTGTCGACGACGGTTTCCTTTCCTTCCATCTCTCCCCGTTTGAAACTTCTCATTCGACGTTCTCTCGTTGCCAGCGGTAGCTGCTATCGCCGGCGACGCGACTCGCTTTTCTTTCCCCTCCTCTCCTCGAGACCAAATTCGAAACCCTTTGGCCTTCGCCCCCGCCATCCTCATCATCGCCAGCGTCAAACACCTTCGTCACCGTCGTCCTCAATCGTTGGCTTTTGTTTTCTTTCTTTCCTCTGTATTCTTCTCTTCTTTTTTATTGGTTTTCCAGAAAGAATAAGAGATAACGAGTGAGATAAGGTTTGTGCGACTAGGGTTTTTAAGGGGGTTCTTCTTTTATATTTTACTAAATGAAAAAAATTGTATTTTTTTGTTGTTGTTAATCCACGTGTCCAATGAGAAATTGTCAGCTCTGCATTTCCGTCTGTATAGTCAGATCGTTAAGTAACACCGTTAAAGAGATGGACGGAAGTGGCTATGTTTTGTTTTCGGATAGTTATGCCTATATTTGTCACAAACATGAAAGTTATTCCTATGAAAGTGTATTTTGCCTTTGATCTATCCATATACATTTTCTCTTCACCTCTCTCTAGATACTTTGTCAATTTTTATAGGGTAAATACAATATATTAGCCACAACTATTATGAAGCGGGGAATTATAGCCACAACTATTGAAATTCAAATTATTAGCCAAACGTTAACTATCTGTTAACAATTTCGTTAGTAATACTGAGTAAACTTTTATGTTTTGAAGTTATAAACTAAAAGCATTCCTACGTGGCCGCTGTCGTGGCCGATGACTTGACCTTCTCCGTCAAAAATTCAATAACATTAACAGACAGTTATCCATATCTTGACCTGCAACAATAGTTATGGCTAATAATTTGAATTTTCATAGTTATGGCTATAATTTCCCGTTTCATAATAGTTGTGGCTAATATATTGTATTAACCCATTTTTATACACCATTTCACGTACTAGTGTACTTAAACTTTGTAGTACATGTAGGTAGGTGGGAATGAGAATACCTATAAGACTCAAATCACATTGTTGTTCGATATTAGGGATGGCAATGGGTCGGGTCGGGGACGGATAGTGCATATCCGTTACCCTACCCAAAGTAGTTTCGGTTTTACTCATGCCCATACCCACATGTGAAACGGGTAGAAAATCAAATCCATGCCCATATCCGTTCGGGTTTCGGATATCCACGGTTATCCATGGGTAATAATTTCTCTTCATAACTCCAACCAATATGTTAACATTCATACGTATTCTCACATTACGTAAGAGGAAAAGTACGACAATACTTCACCAGAATGAAGAAAATTAATTATAACAACACAATTTCATGAAAATATTATATTTATATGATAAATATAAAATATGTTAGATAAAAATAATGATTATTTCTAGACAAAATACATGTGCATGTGTATAATCGGGCGGGTTCGGGTTGGATAGTGTGAAACCCATGCCCACCCATTATCCGCAATATTCGGGTTCGGGTTTTACCCATACCCACTAAATGTCCTTCGGATTCGGGTTTTACCCTACCCGATTAGGCCGGATTCGGGCGGATATCCACGGTTACGGATATTTTTGCCATCCCTATTCGATATCTAGTATTATCTACTGATAAGGCACAAAACATATTTGTTGAATCTAACAAAAATTAGAATTAAATCAAGGATTTGTGTACTCTTCGAGTAAGTTTATTTTTTGGTGATAACTCTTCGAGTAAGTTAAATCTGTATTCAGGGGCGGACCTTCACCCGCAAATTTTGTAAAGAACCTATATTTTTTTGCGCAATTTTTTTTATAAGAGATCTCCGGCACCGCTTTAATAATTATACCCGATACTCCTTCATTAGACGACACTCCTCTTCAACAATCATGGATCCGCCACTGTCTGTATTACCAGATTTTTTTTTTAGAACGAGAATAAAAAATTCAATTCATCTCGACTAAAATAAAAGACAAAATGTTTTCCTTCTCAAACTATGCAATCCTTCCTACTAACGAGCTATCCCTTTCCATCAATATGGAACAAAACTAAACTAATTCACTCAGAAAAGCAAACATCTTCGTAGCTGACTAAAATTGCGAGAAAAACCTAATCATAGATCTATAATAAAAAAGAAAATCTGTCACTATGAAGATTTGAAATCCATATTATAAATCAAGATTTCTCCCAAACAATTCAAATTATCGACATAAGAAAGAACAAATCCCTCATTATCATTCCCATCGTCTTCTATCATTTGACACCTCTAGTTTCCACACAAGCGTGCTCCATATGTGGCCTTCACCTACGCCATTGCCTCGTTTTGTCCTGTGTAAAGCTACAAGGCAAAAAGCTTTAGGCAGGGCCTAACCCACTGGCGTACAATATGTAGAAGTGGGCGACCTACAGGCAGCTAGTTTAATTTGGTTACAGAATGGCCATTTGCCTAATGGTCCAGCCGAACTCTACGAGGCTACAGGCCTCTTATTCTGACTCGGTTCACCTTCTTCAGCGAAAACTCGCCGATTCTGGGCAATTGGGGCCTGAGCTTGACCCGCCAATTGGGCAGGGAATCAATCAGCGCAAGGTTGCTCTTCCATTGTTTCTCAACGCCGACTCACACGGGCGGACGTCGTCTATGGTCCCTTTCTGCCCGAAAAGTTGGGCTTATCAACGATCATGGGTGGGCAACGAAAAACGGGTATTTGGTTATACTCATACTCGTTCATTTTTTTTGAGGGTTAGTTGATCCCAATTCGACATTAGAAGTATTTTGGGCTTCTTTTCATTTTTCTTTGGCACCTACGATTGAGATCGGAGATTTTTGGCTCCCAAAAGGGATTGGGGTTTTAGATCCTTCGAAAATCCCTTTTCTTAATACCCTCATTCTCCTTTCATCCGGTGAGTACTCATAATATTTATTAAGATGAGACTTGGAATTAGGGTATCCATGCGTTACCTGTTAATACTCGTTTGGATAATATGAGTACCCGTAATACACATTACATTAATTCCTTATACAACCCTTTAGCTCAGAGCCCAACCCACCTGTTTTTGTCATCTAGAGTCCTGCACCCCTGCCCCAGCCCAGCTCCAGCCCGCCCCCACCCCACTTACGGGTGTGCAACGGTTCGGTTCAGTTCGGTCCGGACCAAACTCATTAGAACCGCGGTCCATTGGTGAAATGCATGTTAGGACCAAGGACCAAACCATTCTTGCATTTGGTCAGGGGCGGTCCGGTCCAAATATGAGCTCGGTCCACCATTTCTTCAGTAATTATAAAATTCATGAGGACCAAAGACTGGACCGCAATTTACTCGATTTGGTCCGGTCCGGTCTTAACAATTGTTTGGTCTGACGTGGTCCGGTCCGTACCGGACCATTGCACACCATCACCCCATTCCATCTCCTCTCCTCTCCTTGACTTCCTCGGAAGAAGACCAGACCAAGACCTAGTAATGGTCTAACGGATACGGAAATCGGAAAAGAAGAAAGTCGAAAGTTTAGTTATATATGGATAGTTTGGGTACTCGTTATCCGTCCCGAGATGACATTTTCAGCCGAGATATTGTTAGTGCACGAGACATTGACACTCTACCTTTAATCTGCCGCAAGAATACAAATAAAGAGCACCGAAACGATATTTTTTAGACGAATTTGAGCAAGGCAAGTCGCCAAAAACAACAACAGTACCATCATAATTCATATCTTTATTAAAGACAGATTCCTTTGTACGCCAGAAATGCACAACTCAACTACTCAAGACCATAACGAAACGGTTGAAGAACCGGATGAACATAAAAAAAAATTGATTGCCAGGACTCTTAGGAACATCGAGTCCATCTTTTGCGTGCAGAATTTCATCCTAATAACACGCACCAACCTCATGAAAGGCATAACGCTGTCCCACTCCCACCTCTTCCTGAGACGCCTTCTCTTCTTTACCCGCCGTGGCACTTCCGCCACACTCCTCAACCTCAGCCCATAAATGGAAGCAGCCACACAACGTCAAACAACTCAAAACCATCTGTCACAGTTCAACTTTTAACCTCACAGCCATGAACCCAGAACAACTTCTCCATCAACTCCAACATCTCCCACTCTTCACGACACACCAGTTGATCATCCTAGCCACAGCAGCCTCCCTCTTTCTGTACCACACATACAGAAGGAGAGTAGCAGGATTCTACCTGCTCGATTTCTCATGCTACCGGCCATCACCTGGACACCGAGCCCCCATGGCCTTCTACCACGAGCGACTCCATCTCGAGAACATCCACCCCGATGCCACATCGTTCCAGCTCAAAATCCTGGAGAAATCCGGGTTCGGGGAGCAGACTGGGATCCCGGAATCCCTTGCTCGGACACCCATACAAAACGGAGTCTCCTTCAGCACCGAGGAAGCTTCGACCATCATGTTCCAAGTAGTCTCGAATCTCCTAAAAAGAACCGACACAAATCCAAAAGGGATCGACGTGCTGATATGCAACAGCTCCATGTTTGCTCCCACACCGTCACTATCTTCCATGGTGGTGAGCAAGTTCAGAATGAGGAGCAACATCAAGACATACAACTTATCAGGTATGGGATGCAGTGCTGGGATTATATCAGTAGGGCTGGCAAGAGACTTGCTGAAAGTGAACCCTGGCTCTTTGGCGCTCATAGTGAGCACCGAGATGCTAGGGCTGAACTGGTACACTGGTGAGAACAAGTCGATGCTGCTGACTAACTGCCTGTTCCGAATGGGGGGAGCTGCTGTACTTATGTCTAATAGAAAGCAAGACCAGGGGATAACAAAGTATGAACTCCAACATCTAGTTCGAACACATAGAGGAAAGGATGACAACTCTTATAGCTGTGTTTTTCAAGATGTGGATGATGATAAGAAACTAGGAGTGTCCATATCGAAAGAGATATTACATGTAGCTGGAGGGGCACTAAAGGCAAATGTTGCAACACTAGGACCAATGGTGCTGCCACATTCAGAGCAACTACGCTATCTGGTGTCACTAATTGGAAGAAAGGGAAGCATATATGTGCCCAAGTTCAAAAGGGCATTTCAACACTTCTGCATACATGCTGGTGGCAAAGCAGTTATTCAAGCTATACAGAAAAACCTAAAGCTGAACGATGAGGATGTAGAACCTTCCAAGATGACACTCTACAGATTTGGAAACACTTCATCATCTTCTATATGGTATGAGTTAAGCTATGTCGAAGCTAAAGGGAAGATGCGGAAAGGTGACCATGTTTGGCAAATAGCTTTTGGGAGTGGGTTCAAGTGTTGCAGTGCTGTATGGAAATGCAATCAAAGTAGGGTCATTACTCGAGACAATGCATGGGTAGATGACATTCATTTGTATCCGGTAGCAATACCAGCTACAGCGAAAATCAGCGAAAGCTAATGTAAGCGTGCTTACTGCTGATACTATATTAGAAACATAAACTTCAGTAAACAGAGAAAGGCACATCATTGAAGAAATTCATGGTTCTCAACACAAAATCGTCAACCAATGCAAACTGTTTTACTGGTAGAAACTCTGCAAAACTCACAAATTTCAAGACTTTCACATAAACCCTAAATGCAAATCAAAAACTAAGATTCTCGATTGGGCAGAAAGGATTACAGAGAGACGCTCAATCCTCCTCCTCGCCTTCATTCTCGGCGATGTTGAAGTATCTCAGCTCGTAGATGGAACGGTCCTTGTTGGAAGCAATCACACGAAGCCAATCCCTGACATTGTGCTTCTTCAAATACTTCTTCGTCAAGTACTTCAGGTACCTGAGAATCCAAAAAAGGAGATGGAGCTACAATCAGGAACTAAAGAACCATAAAGCTCGAAGTCTCCGGAAAAAAGGAAAGCTACCTCTTGGAGAAGTTGGAATCGGAGGTAACGGTGATCTTGGACTTCTCGCGAGTGATGACGACGGCGTCGCCGAGTGCTCCGGCCTTGCCGCCGACCTTGATGCGCTCCTGGAGGAACTTCTCGAGGGAGGCGATGTCCATGATCTTGTCCTCGACGGGCTTACCGCAGTCGATGGTGAAGGTGACTCCCTTCTTCTTGCCCTTGGCGCCGGCGGCACCTCCTGCTGCTCCGCGGCTCATTTTCGATTTCCTCTTTCGACTTCCTTTACAAGCAAACAGAGAAAGGGAGCTGGGTGTTAGCTAAACACAGAGGGAGAGAGAAGTGAACGGCGGGGAGAAAGACAGGAAGAGGATCTTACCGGTGAGAATTGGCAGAGATTTGCAGCGCCGCAGGAACTCCAGATGGGAAGGCGAGGGCGAAGTAGGGTTTTTGGGATATATAGTACAAGGTTGTATGCGCTTAGGTCGTTTGCAACGATGGAAACTGCTGGGCTTCAACCGCTAGTGGGCTTCCATGATATTTGGACTTAGTTTTTAAGAGGCGCATTTAGGCCTAATTAGGAAAAGCGAGCCCAATCTGAACAGGCTTAAAAGGGTTGGTCAATCATTTTTGCAAGAGAAATGTCAAAAGCAGAATAGGGGCGTTTACAAAATGTTATGGTTTGTGGCGATGCAAAGGTTGTCATTGACATATGTAATGTCGACGATTTGATCTTATGGATGAGAAGGTTGGGGGTTATTTTTGAAGATAATGGTCTCCTCCTCGTCTGGGTATTCCATTGTATTTGTGAAAGAGATTGTAACATGTTGGCTTATTGAGTCAAATAAGTTGAAAGATCGACTCTAACTAGTTGAAGAAAAGTCAAAATAAAAGAAATATGTATAAATTACGTAAGAAATTGAGATAAAATGGGTTAAGAAAGGGGCAGGGCATCTAGACAGGGCAGGTCGGAAGTAGATACTCATGCTTTGCCCCACGCTACTACGGGTCGGATAATACCTGTTCTATCGCGAGTCAAACGGGTAATATCCACGTGGCGGGTTCAAATTGCCATAACTACATGTACATAAGAGGTTTTGGGTACGCTGATTTGAGAAACATGTCATTTTCTCAATAAAATAGGGTAAGTTTATTGTTAAACAATCTCCATAGATGCGTGAAGATGCAGACGTCCTGTCGTCTGGGGGTATAGGATTGGGAGTAATCATACGCAATGATGAAGGGAAGTTTCTCCTTGCGGCAACAATGAAAATTCCGGGAAGCTGGGAACCCGAGATGGCGGAAGCCTTAGTAGCAGAGTTCGACATGTAGTTAGCATACCATTCTCATATGACGAACTTGGTCCTTAAAACAAAATGCCTCTCGCTTACCCATAAGTTGGTGGGCGGTGGCAGCGGATAATATAAACACAGAGATTGGTGTCATATGTCGTAATATCCTTAGGCTTATTCGAGAGATTGGGAATGGAATTAGCAGTATGCTCCAAGAGAAGGAAACTATCAGTTCATATCATGGCTCATACTGAGACTAGATGGAATGAGAGGGAAGTTTGGTTTGGTAGGCCCCTTATGATTCTTGTTGATTTGAGTTTGCTGGATAACGTAGACGCGACGTCTTATTAATAAAGTTATTACAGATTCGATAAAAAAATAGATGTGTGAAGATGGCAAGGGAAAAAAATTATTTTATATTTAACAATTATGGTGGAATATGTAAATGATATTTCTTATGTGTTAGTTAAGTTAAACAATATCTCGATATTTCTTACGTTGTCCTAAAGATGTCTAGTGTGTTATCAAAATTGAGAGAAAATTTATGAAGTTTGACATAATGACTCTTGATATTACCATAGGTTGATAGAGTCCTCATTAACTTGGTTTCTTCTATGTATTTACTCTTGGTATGTTGTTAGAAATCTATTTTTAGGATTCTAGCGATCAGGTTGTGAAATTGAGAATTGATAGGTATTTAGTGATTTATAATATAATAATTGGGGATTGGAAGAAGATTTTAGGAATGTAAGGAAGAACGACAGAGGCCTTTTGAGAGAGAAAGAGAGACAAGATTGAAAGAGAAAGACAGACCAGGGTTGGATAATTTCGTATTAACTTTTTTGATTAACACGTAAAACCCAAAACACATATTTTTAATAAAAGACACCCAAAATCCCAAAATTGACCCTAATCCTACTCTTCAAATCCCTAACTCACAATTAATAATACTACCAATCAATGAATCTTTCTAACATAAGTTGCCTTGGGGAAATTTGTCACAACTGCAGACCTTACACCTTAGCAGTAAAACGAAAACTACACCGTTCATTCTATTGAATTCGGGGTAATCTATCAAGCATTATCATTTGATGTCTCGACATAAGAACAAACAAAGGAGGGGGCAAAAAGATGATCAAAACCAGTCAAAAGAAAATCTACCAAACATTTAATTACCGGAACAAACACCATTTTCTTTTCTTAATAATTAGATTATTTCTAATCCTCAAGATCGCTCCATATTTCATTGCTACACTAATAACATACGCCTGATTCCGCATCAACCCACAAAATCAAGCGGAGAAAGCCTTCTGTTCGCCGAAGATGCGCTGCCGGAAATCGGAAACCATCATCGGAAGTCCCTTCCGGAGCGACACCGTCGGCTCCCAGCCCAGCTGCTCCTTCGCCTTCGTAATGTCCGGCTTCCTCATGTGCGGGTCGTCTTCTGTGTTGGGCTTGAACTCGATTCTCGCCTTTGGGTCGATCGTCTCTTGGACCACCTGCATCAGAAAAAAGCCCCATTCAAATCCACCAGGCCCAGCTTACTCCTCGAAAGCCCAATGGAAATCAATCAAATCCACTGTTTACCTCAGCTAGCTGCAACATGGTGAACTCCCCAGGGTTGCCAAGATTGAATGGACCAATGTGCTCGCTCTCCATCAGCCGCACCAGGCCCTCTACCTGTTCCCATTACGCGCTCAACGTGTTCGATGAAATGCCGCAACGAAAATCACCCCCCCCACAATGACAGCATTTTCCTACTTACCAAGTCCGAAACGTATTGGAAGCTCCTTGTTTGCTTCCCGTCGCCGTAGACCGTCATCGGCTCCTTCCTCAGCGCCTGCGCCACGAAATTGCTCACCACTCGACCGTCGTCGATGCACATTCGAGGCCCGTACGTGTTAAATATCCGAGCGATCCTCACCTGAGAATAAGATCGACAAACAAGCTACAGAGACAACGCGTGCAGTACAAAAGCACAATGCAAGGTGGGGGATTAGACGGTATTCGTTTTCACCTCAATGCCAGCGCCTCTGTGATAGTCCATGGTCAGCGTCTCAGCAACCCGCTTTCCTTCGTCGTAGCAGCTCCTCACCCCTGAAACAATCTCCACCAACAACCCAATTGAAAACCGAAAAAAACTCGGATAATGCCACGACTCACAGATCGTTGAGATGAGTTCGGAGAAAACTTGCTCACCGATTGGATTGACGTTGCCCCAGTAGGTTTCCACCTGCGGATGCTGCAGGGGGTCGCCGTAGACCTCGCTGGTGCTCGTCAGCAAGAAACGCGCCCCAACCCTCTTCGCCAGACCAAGCATGTTCAACGTCCCCGCCACGTTTGTCTTGTGAACCCATAAACCAAACCCACCAAGAAAATCCAAGTCAAGGAAATCCAAATCCCCGATTCACAACCATAGTCACGTTACCACATTGTTTGCACCTACTTGAACCACAATGTCACTCACCTCAAATCGAATCTGCCTAAGAAACATGGCTAAAGTCCTCAGTACTCACATTCGTCATTAAGCTCGATATCGAGACAATCGAAACACTACATTCGAATCCTACGAAATCATCTTACCAGAGCGAAATTCGATACTTCAGTTGTCTCGATACCGCACTCAGCTTAGTACTAGATGTGATCCATTGCATGAAATGATTCCATGACCCAATTGGCATTTAACCCCCAGCACACACCCAAATCACCCAATTCAAGAATCCAAAGAAAGATTCACCCAATCTAACTCACAACAAAACGATCCAACATTTCACACGGATAACAGTAACAGTAAATTTAGAGACAGTGTAAAAACCAAAGCATTCAGTAAAGAAAGGATATGATGGTCTTAACAGGATTGAACTTGTAATGAACAGGGGAAGCCGGGCAAGCCAGGTGGTAGATCTGATCCACCTCCAGCAAAATCGGTTCGACCACATCGTGCCGAATCAGCTCGAACCGGTGGTTCCCGAAATGATGCATCAGGTTCTCCTTCCTGCCCGTGAAGAAATTGTCGATCACAATCACACTGTCCCCTCTCCCAATCAGCCGGTCGACGAGATGGCTCCCGACGAAACCCGCCCCGCCGGTGACCAGGATCCGGTTCCCTTTCCTCTTCAGCCCTTGCGGCACTTTCCCCGTAGCACCCGGCATCTCCTCGATCAGGACCCGCCGGGTAATCGGGTCGGGCACCGCGACCCGGCCCGGATCCGAGGCCTGGAGGATGGTGGTGGTGGAGAGGGGGAATGAGTGGAAGAAGAGGGCGGCGAGGGCGAATCCGGCGAGGAAGCAGGGGAGGCGGTGCTCGCCGAGGAGGTACCGGACGGCGGGGATCGAGCGGCGGCGCGGCGGAGGTGTCATGTTTTTTTTTTGGGGGGAAATGGAAATTAGGGAAGGAGGAGGGGAGATTGAAACAGAAAGGAGGAGTGAAGGATTTTGGAGGTGATTTAATGGTGGTGGTGAGGAGGAAGAGGAAGAGGGGGAAAAATGCATGGGGGAAATTTTCGTGGCGGTATAATCGCTCGCGCTTGTGTTTCGGGAAGAGGGCGGGGCTGCCACTTGGTCTTGTTTGCTTCCTCCACCTCCCTTTCCGCCTGTTTATTTATTATTTGTTTTTATTAATTAATTAAGTTTCTTTGTTTTCTGGTTTTTTGTTTTTTGTTTTTTTAATACCATCACACTTCCCTTCCTTCCCGCGAAAAAGAAGAGCGTGCCAAAATGAAGATAAATAAAATTGAGGAATGTAAAGGGGTGCTTATCAAAGGAATGTAAAGGGGTTGGGCCTCGTTTTTTGTTTGTTTTTGCAGGAATTCTTGGTCGGGCTTCATTTCTGGACGCAGATTATAGGATGTGGAGAGGACACCCGTAGTCTTCGACCCATCTTTTTTTCATCTTGTTTGTATTTTGCAGGAGAAGCTGCTATGCCTTTTGACTAATTGTTGGATATTTTCAAGCAGCAACGTGTATGTAGAGAGCTTTAAGGCGATATGGTGTAACGGCGGAAATATATCCTTTTTTTAGGCTTTAGTGTTTTATCACTCTCTTCTTAGGATCTAACAGAGCTGCCCATTTAGTGGCATAAAGGGCTCTTTCATCGCCAGATCGATTAGTATCGACTGACGTTATTATTACCTATTGTAAACATATCTGTCTACAATTTCATCTGACTATGATAAAAAAAAAGGAAATTAGTCACTCTTAACCGTGTACAACGATTTGATTTGAATGTAGTGTTAGTTTGATCTTTGGTTTTATGAGTTTATTAAAAAAAGAGGGGGAAAAAAACATAAGATGTGAACTGGACCAAATACACTTACAGTTAGTAGAAGATGTGATTGACACGAAATTTTGTTGTTAGAGTTTATATAGCATAAGAGAAAGAAGCAACATCTTGCGACCTTTTGAATAGCGTATTCAACTTTCCTCTTATGTTAGAACAACTCTATTACGGTTAAACCAAATTGTGAACCGGGCCGATTCGTAACAAACCACGATCTCACTGTTAAACCCTTACGGTTTTTATTTACCAGACCTTAACAGACCACGAGGTCACTATTAAAAATGAATTTTGAGGCAGAACAATGCTTGCTTTTACTAAACAAAATTTGAGATCGATACTGACAACAATTAATTAACTTCATAAATCCGAAGAACCTATACTTCAGTTCAGAAATCGAGAGGGGAAGAAATTCATAGCCAAAAAGTTGTCTATAAATTGAAAAGTTTTTTCACATAGCAGGATACGAGCAAATGCAGGAAGCCTTTGCAGTTTCTATCCTTAGGCAGGAAAACAGACCCAATTCAGCAAAAGGTGGAGTAGAACGTTAGAAAGGGGAAACAGGCATGGATTTCCTCTACACATGAATCTGCCCTCATTTCATGATTCAACAAAGTAAACTCCACTGTTTTTATATTCCAAGTATTTAACCTTACGTTACGAGCCCCATACAACGTTGCAAAGGAACTTCAATACTCGTGCAGTCATCACAGAAGTTGGCTTTAAAACCGAGAGTTTCGGCGTGTTCGTTACAGCAAGCTTTTCGTTTCCCACTGCTAACAATTCAAATACACAACACTAGCAACAACGTTTGGTTTATACAACCGATTAGAAACAACAGAGGGGCGATGATGGAACGGGAATGTGATCGGACTAGAACCGGCGAATGTCTTTAGGCGGCTTGAAGTTGACCGGGTGAGTTTCAGGGGTGGCGTTCTCGTCTTGCTTCCACATCTTGATCGTCTTGTCAGCTTCACACGTGATGAGCCTGGAACCAGTTAGGTCGAAGGAGGCAGCATAAATGGCAGCTTCGCTGTCCAGTGACCCTGAAAATAAAGGGCAGCACCACCAGGTAATCAGTACCCATTTCTACTTGTTCTTCCGTTTTTCATTTGTGTTATTTTTCTGGTTTAAGAACTTGACTTACCGGGCTGTACTATCGTCTGAGCTTGCTGGAAATTATGACCGCTCTTCCAATCCCAGAACCACAAGCTCCCATTATCTCCTGCAATGATGCGAAAGAGGAGAAACATTGTGGGAAGCTGTTTAGAACTAAAGTTCAGTAGCAAAAGTTGGTAATGAGCAGTGACAATACCTCCTGTAACCATTACTCCGTCCTCATTAATCGCCATTGCATTGATTATGGTCTTCTGCTGGGAGCTGCTCAAGAACAAAGCAGTCAAGTAGTTAACTACACAATTCGAATCAAGTTTAGACAAATCCATGATGGTTCACAATATAATATTCCTAAGCATCCCAAACCAACGCTCAAATTCTTGTAGGGTGAGAAACTGTTTTTTGCTTAAACCATGACCGAATATTTGGATTGGTTAAGATTGTTTATCTTTAGAACTTATTTGAATACTGTTTCTGTTCTGCAAATTCTTGTTTCTTTGATTTCAGTTGACCGAAACCAAAACCAATCTACCCTACAAGTCTAAGGCCTACGCAGAATGTTATGTAGACGGCAATTTAATTAACTAGGGAATTGGACAACTTACAGCATGTTGTGCAAAAACTCGCCCCTTGGAAGATTGAACTTCTTAATGTTCTCAGCCGATGCAGATGCAAAGCTATGCCTGAGGAGCCAAGTACCAATATTCATGAGAAGCTATTGTCAGAAAGAACCATCACACAGGAAAACTAGAGATATACGAATCACATACTCAGTGGGATGTCGTGCCAAGGCTCGCACTGACTTTTTGTGGTGTGTCAGAGTTGTCATGGTTTTACCTGCCATGAAGGAGATATGATGTACAAGAGAAACATGAGATAGTGTCGAAAGGACAACATTAACAGTAAATGTTATATTGAAGGATACCATTTCAACTCACCATATCTGAGATCCCAGAACTTAATGGTTGAGTCATGGGAACCAGTAACTACTTGAGGGTCCTAGAAAGCAATAAGAAGATAAGTAAAAAAATATGAACATTGCCAGCATTAGAGAAGGGGTAAAATATAAAGGACCAAGAGTGTACCGTTGGACGAGTGAAAACAGAACACACTGTATTATCATGTCCAGCTAGGGCATAGGCTTGCATCTTCGTGCGAATATCCCATACCTAACAAAAGCATATATTCATTAATTTAGACACCACACTTATCTGGCATAAGAACAGAGCACAGACAAAATGACATAGTGCATAGCAATCTGGAATGCAGGAGAGTACATACCCTGCATACAGAATCACGCCCCCCAGTGAGCAATAGGTCAATGGTAGGATGAAGGGCGAGGCAGTAGACACCACTAAGATGACCATGGTAAGACCGAATAACCTACAAATTGATGATAGATATATAAGCAAAAAGAGCTTCATGAGAGTTTTGATAAGTAAGAGTGAAGAGGAGAAATTATCACCTTATTCTGTTCCAGGTCCCAGCATTTAACCTGCTTATCATCGCCAGCAGAAAACATGTAGGTATGTCTTGTGCTCACAGCAAGACCTGAAAACAAATGTTAATAATTTAACCAAACACTGCACTTAAAAACAATGGCCATCGAGATACCAGTAATTTCATCTCATTACTTACCTCGTATCTGTTCGATATGTCCAGTCAATGTGTACTTTAACTTACCACTGGCCACATCCCAAATCTGTTGGCGAAGAGCAAGATTTAGAAAGAAATTCAATCTTACATAGATATAAAGAGGTGAATCCAACAAGGTACAAATAAGGTTGAAGAGGATCATGCAATGACACAAGACAGAAGGAGCGCAAGAAGATATAGGAACAGGACATGATACCTTTATTGTACGGTCAGCCGAGCCAGTACAAAACCAGGTATTGCTGGGATCAAATGCAATGGATCTCACCCACCCTAAGTGACCGCTAATAACCTGCAGTACCAATATCATAGTTTCAACATAAATTTTGGTAAAAGCTAAGCGATCACTATATTTGTATATACAAATAACAAAACCATTTTACCCTGTAATTCTTCCAAGGAGCATGCCATTCAGGACGTGGCCATCTGCTTGGGATTCTCTCTATTATTGCTGAAGTAGAAAAGTTCCTATAAGAATTAAAAAAAGACAGTTAGCAAGTTAAGATAAGCTCATCAGATTGAAAATACAAGACCAACTTCAGCATCCCTCTAAATTAACATCTCTCCGGAGAAGCACTACAGCTACAAACACATTAAATTACAGAAACATACCTTGATGAACTAGATGCAGGAATCACAGTTGTGCTCTTGCCTGGAAGGCCACCCTCATTCCTGATAAACAAACATGATAGCAATTAGCATCAAAAGTAAACCCTCTGTTCGTTCACAACGTCAGACCAACTAAACAACGGTACTGTAACTGATATGGGTCATCGAATTCTGTAAGCAAATACAAGCGGAAATCCTAAAACCAATACTCACTTCCCCCTAGACTGCAGAGTTGGGCCAACAACAAGAGCATTCTCCGACACCCCCTTTCCTTGATCTCTAGAACCCTCTGGCCCTGGCGAACCAAGATAGCACTCAAAGTAATCAGAAAATAGATACATAAACCTCTAGAATATGAGCAGTTAACCAAGTGAAGAAGACAGCAGTACCAGGGAGGGCAAGAGCATTGGAAGGAGCTGCAGGCTCCTGACCTCTGGGATTGCCTTGTTTTGGGATATCATTAGTACTTTTGATCCCTTTATACTCCATAGCAACCTGCAGAGTCAACCAAACTTTAAGATTAGACCCCATAACTAAAGAAACCTGCTACTGAGTTCAAAGCTCAGACAATACGAAAGCAACGTCACAGCAAAAGAAGTGTAAAAAAAAAAAAGCTTCAGCACCGATAAAACACCCGCAATAGCCATACCTAATCGACGAAGTAATGAACCAGATGTTCAACTAACCTTGTGGCTCGTGCGAATTCGTTTACTGAAAAAAACCCCAAGAACAAACCACAATTAGATTCAATTTCAAGAGGAAGAAGTTCAGCTACTAGATTGCAGAAGCGAAGAAGAAGAACGAACGAACGAACCTCTCGGGATCAGGAGGGGCGACGTGGCCGTGAGTCGGGGAGAAGAGATCGAGCGACCGTTTTAGGGATTTCAGACTGAGCTTCTTCAGCGACTGCGGCTCAACTGGCTCCATCTCTAGAGCAGTACCCGGCATTCTCTTCTGCGTCTGGCTAACAGGCGGAAAACCTCGCCGGAGAGTAGCTATTCGGCGGAAGGATAGGGTTTCTTCTCTAGCTCCGCCGGCCTGTTGACGGAAGGTGGACGCGGGTACGGCGTTCCTAAAATACGAACGAGAGAATTTGTCTTGCTGCTGCTACGCTTCACAAATTCCGGGTCTAAAAAAGGTTGGCCGCCGCCATTATTTTAATCAGAACTGGATCAGGAAATTTTAGGCGGGCCCGGGAATGGGCTGGGCTTCTAGGCCCATCTTTGTTTCCTTCGAGTCTGGTTTTATACCCGAGCATTGAAGAATTTCTCTCTCTTCCATTTGCCATCTTCTATCTAGGGATGGCAATGGGTCGGGTCGGGGGCGGATAGTGCATATCCGTTACCCTACCCAAAGCAGTTCGGGTTTTACCCATACCCATACTCACATGTGAAACGGGTAGAAAATAAAAACCATGCCCATACCCGTTCGGGTTTCGGGTATCCACGGTTATCCTTGGGTAATCATTTCTCTTCATAACTTCAACCAATATGTTAACATTCACACGAATTATCACATTGCGTCAGAGGAAAAGTACGACAATAATTCACTAGAATGAAGAAAATTAATTAAAACAACACAATTTCAATAAAATATTATACTTATATGCTAAATATAAAATATGTTAGAGAAAAATAATGATTATATCTAGAGAAAATACATATGCATTTGTATAATCGGGCGGGTTCGGGTTGGATAATGAGAAATCCATGCCCACCCATTACCCACAATATTCGAGTTCGGGTTTTACCCGTACCCACTAAATGTCTTTCGGGTTCGGGTTTTACCCTACCCGATTAGGCCGGATTCGGGTGGATATCCACGGTTACGGATATTTTTGCCATCCCTACTTCTATCTCACGACCAGGGAAAACCCTAATCGGTGAACCAGAGAGGAAAAGGAGCGATGAAACGAGCATCTTCTCTGTTTAGGCTTCTCTCAGCCTCCAGTAGGAGCCGGATTCTTCAATCTAGCCCCGAATTCATCCAAAGCTCCAAATCTCCAGCCGCCATATTTAGCAGGTACGCTAATCCGACCCGATTTTACTCTTCAGAATCGGATCCATGGAGTAGATCAAATCCCGAGAAGCAGCAGCGAAGCGATCCATCATCCCTTGAAGGTGTCGATGTGGTGAGCGATGAAGAGCTGAAGAGGCGAATCGAGAGGTTCTATAACGGGGACGGAGATGCGATCCCGTCGATATTTGAAGCCATCTTGGCGAGGAAGCTGGCCGGGGTCAGCGACGACGAGAATCTGATGAAGGAGCTCCGGGAGAAGTTCCCAATGGAGAATGTGGAGAAGGAAGGAGGGTTCGACTTCGATGACGAGGAATTGGACGACGACGACGAAGTGGATGACGAGGAGGATCATTAGTGACGACGATTTGGTATTTACAATCAACAATTGTTGTCAATGTTATGGTTTATATTGGTTCAGACCCTTAAATTATAGCAGGGTAGATCGTATATGGCTTCTGCATATTAGAAATTTATACGGCTGCTGGTGTTGAATTATACATTTTGGCTTTTCCGACGAATTATTGCTGTGAATTTCGCCGGCGGAACTAAGGCTGGTCGGTCTGTATACGACTGTTGGAGCTGTACCTTGACTGTTACCGGAAAGTATATTGCTTTACGATCATGAGGAAGCCGTGCTGCCTTTCACCGCCGGTGAGCGCCGGTGGATGTCGACTGCTAATTTAACTCTTTGGTTATATTTGATTGAGGAACTTCTGAATTAATGTACATAATACAATCATATGAGTTTGTAACAAAATAACATCAACCTCACTATTCTGATTAATACACATCACAATTATTTTCAGGCAACCTCCTCTCTTGTATGCTAAACTATTTACAAAAGTGAACTATAATGTAACCAAACCAAGCCTTTGAAATGAACAAAAAAAACCCATAATTGGAAACTCAGCTGTTGCATTAAAGAGGTATCCATCCCTACAGTACAGAACCACATGAAATGAAGGAAAAGTTGTGAGGAAATCAGAGAACCAAAACGCAACAACAGAAAGGTAAAGGAGGAAGAAGAAGAAGAAGAAGAAGAAGAAGAATGAGCTGATGAGGAACAAACCTTGATAAGTCCTTTCTCAGTACCACAGAGAACAATGTCATTGGCACAGAGAAGGCTAGTTATTTTGCTCCCTGCAGATATTCTCCCAACTTTCTGCTGTGTCCCTCTCAGCCAAATCTGCAGGGTTTTCCCACCCATGGCATATCAGATTAGTTAGCTCCATTTACTCATATGATCCTACTCATTATATCTATTATTACATGATAAAGAAAAGATTTTTAGTGTAAAATTGATTAACTGCAGTGATAACTTCGCTTAGCCAACAGTTTAGTGACTGTTCATGGTGATTAAAAGGGGATCAACTTACTTGAAGGGAGCTGGTTGATGAGCTGCAATTCAAGTATATGAAGTCTTCCACAACTTCCATGGCCACCACACTCTTGCCTTTCTCTGCCACCATGGAAACCTGTGGCCTACAGTTTGTCCTCCATTCCTGTTGTTAAATTCATTGCAACTTTCTATGTCAAGTCAATGGAAAAGAGAAAAACAACAGCTTGTTTCCTCTTTTGTTATGCAGAAATGTAAGTGGGTTTTACTATTTGTTACCTTAACTTTTGAACCTTCAACTAATGAGCCAGCAGTATAGAGCCAGTCTTTGTACACTACTATTGAGTTGATGGGTTTGCTTTGCATCATCCAATTCTTCACTGGAGCTTTGATTTCTCTCTCCCTATTGCTTGTTATGCTGAACTCCTGAATGCTTGCATCCTTGCAGCCCAGGTAAATCTTGCCCTGAATTGAAGTTGTCATGGTTTTCACCTTCTTCGACTTGCATATATCATTGGCTGTTCTAGATGAATCAAAAACCTGGAAAGGTTTCAGCAAGCTCAGGAGTTAACTAACTGGGTTTCACCACAAACTTAACATAAATGGTCATTGAACTTTGGGATCACTAAGTAATATGCTAAAACCTTTATTCCATGGCTATGTGTGATGGCAAACACCATGTGACCATACGTTTCCAGCTTTCTTATGGATTCATTTACTGATATGACTTCGATGCATTCAAGCTTCCTTTGCACCATTTGCCAGACCTGCAGAAGGAGAGAGATTCAGGTTTTTTTTAAAGACACATTGTTCTCGTAATCTTCCAAATCAGTCCTTTCCTTTACGTCCATACCCTTATGGTTTTATCAGCAGAGCCACTGAGAAGACTCTCCCCATGTTCCAACAGTGAGAAACAAGTCACTGCCTTTCTATGTTCTTTCATCTCAAATGCAAGTGAGGCAGTCTGGTCCTTGATTTCCCAAACCTGCTCAATAATTCCACCAAATAGGCTCTAAATTCAAAAGGATCTTAGTGTATTTAAATAGATAAAGGGTAAAGTTTCATTTTTTACCTTGATCGAGCCATCTGAATATCCACTGAACAGAAGACCTTTGTAGTAAATGAGGGCAGTCACTGCTCCACTGCGGCTGTGTTTAGCCTCCAAAACTTGCGTGTGCACACAAGAAATCCGCTGTTTTACCGTTGGAAGGAGAAGAATAAGATGAAATTGTGGGTTAGAGAATGAGAAATGTTTTCAAGTTCTGAACTTGGCAACATGATTAAGTGTTAGAAAAAGTACTGACTGATCTGTTGGGCAAGTAATAGTCGGCCACTCTATGTAGTTCCTCAGCCATCCATGTCACACTGGACAACCTTCTCAATGACTCTCTCACCCCTTCTGAGAAGTTAATAAGCTTCTGCATTCCTACACAGAAGGGAAAATAAGCGAGATAAACATACATGACTTCTTGGTTAATATGATCAATTCGGAGTATGTTCAATGCTAAACTGTCAACCATAGGCTAAATGATGGTTAGTGTCATTACCAAATGAATGTTTAATCTGTTTTTGGTCTTTACCTTTGCCAGAAGCATAGTTATAAATGCACATACAAGCTAGGAACCTATGTTCAAGCTCCATCCCAGGGTGCAAGAATTGCTCCAATCCACTAAGCAAAATCTCACAGGCAGAGTATCTTATACTATTTGGGTACTTTCCAATCTCACATCCAATCCAAGAAATGGCCGTGAGAGAGTTGAGACGAACCCTCTTGATCTTGCTTCTTAGACCAGTGGCTAGAGCTTGGAACACAGGCTTTCCCATGTCCACAACCCGCTTTGTTATCTTGGCACACCATGGATCAATACCTATGTCCTGAAGATTTCAACATGTTGCCTGCCTCATTAATGCATGCAAACCAAAACATCATAGAATACATCAGATGTTTATAGAAATTTCTCTCCCTTACCTGCAGGGTCTGGTCTAACTGATTGAAGTTCTTCACCAGATTCCTGTGGGTCAACGAGGTCAACCCTCCCTTTTTCACTAACCACGCTGACGTGTATGGCTCTCCATTCCAAGCATATGTTCCTCCAATGTTTGCAAGAATGAATGCAGCTAACTGTTGTGATGTGGAGCTTTGTTCATTTGACAGTCCATTGAGGATGACTTTTAATGCCTCTTCTGTGAACATGCTTTTGTTGGATGAGTCTTCCTGCTTTTTACACAAGCAGCCACATATTCATACATTAGGATTTCCAATAATTTAAAAGGGTGATAAAATAGGAAAGAAAAAGAATTCCATCTTGATAATAGGGTTTTGCCTACCAGGGTGTCTAACTGAAGTAACAGACTTGCTGCTAGAAGTTTGTGATCAGTTTCAATTTCTTGTATGCAGTCTAGAAGTATTTGCATAAGGTTGCTGCTGCCAAATATTCCTTTATTTTTCCCTTGCAATAAGCTGGTAGCTGATGATCTGATAATACAAATAAGGTTTAGGGCTTTCTGGGTTTCTTGTAGCAGAAGAAAGAAACCAACTTTTGCGGTGAAGTTTCTGCACAAGAAATTACCTTGGAATGCAAAGGATTTCCTGGAAGAACTCAAGAGCAGAAAGCTTAGCCCTCTTCTCCTTTCTCTGTAATAGACATGCGAATGCATCTAACGGAACAGATTCAGATATGTATCTCCTGCAATCTCCGCCAAACTGCATGCACTTTACAAGAATCCTAGCCAATGACACCACATGCTCATCAAAACTGCCCATCTTTGCAACTTCCACAAGCCTCCCTAAAACTTGAGGAGAGTTGATAGCTTCCAGGTGCATATTATTCGTATCACAGTCGAATGCAGTAACCAAAACCTCCATGATCATCAGTGATGCTGCAGGAGGTGTCAGCACAAGCTGGCATGATCTCATCGTTGTCGTCAGCATTGGCTTTGAACAAGTGCAGACAACTTCCACCAATGCTGGTAGGAGTTCAAGTGTCTTGATCTCAGTTGGAGATGGGTTTATCAAGTAGATGAGAATGGCTGCTTCATGAACCTTTTGTTTTAGAGCAGTAGCTAGATTGTATAAGCTCAATCCTTTTCTCTTGATCTCTTCCACAGCCGAGTTATTGACTAGTACTATAGTTGAGAGGATTGAGACTGATGCTCTTATTACTCTTTCTTCCTTGGACGTTGAAATTGCTACTAATAGTTGATCAAGGATCACATTTTTAAGCATGTTGTACTTCACTCCCCTTTTCTTGCTCAGCATTTCATAGATGGTTGTGACTTGAATTGCATAGTCATAGTCTTCTTCTTCTTCTGAGAAGCATAGCCTAGAAATCGCCTTTTCGAGTAATAGGACTAGCTCAGTTTCAGAACCTTGTTCATTATTATGCATTGCGAGTTGGCTGCTGAAGTCTCTTCCAGTAAGCAAATTCTTCTTCTTTTTCTTGTGTGTTTTCTTCTTGTCCTTCTCATTCTTCCCCATCATGCCTCTTCTCAGGTCTTCCATGGTGATTCTCCCATGATGATCATCTTCTGCATAGCAACTCAACAAAGAATCTGTCTTTCTGTCTCTATGTCCAACGGAACAAACTATTCTGCCAGAAGTGATTTTAGGCTTTTCTTCATTTACCAGTAGAGGAAGTGATTTATATTCACATGGGTTAACTAAGCTGAACTGATTATCTTCACTTCCCTTGATATATCTCATTGAGCCTTCATTAATTGTTTCCTGATTCACACAGCCAAAAACAAACTTAGAAAAGCTTAGAGAGACTTTCAAGTTTGCAACAACACCAAGTAGCAATAACTCCACAATTACCTCAGGGTGATCACCACCTTCTTCCACATGATAGTTGCAGCATGAACTTACTGAAGTAGTCTCGGTATCTGATTCGGATTCCATCAGTACTTCCTGCAGGCTTCTTGTGCTTTTATCCTTTCTAAATGTATCCTTCTTGACATCCAACTTCTGAGGTTGACAATCTTCAACTTCTTCAATTTCACAGCTTTGTGAATCAAATGGATGCACCTTCTCATACTGGACTAGCTTCTGTAATGAAAAAGAACATGAAAAATGGTTAATTAGCTTCTGCAAAAGTCAATGGAACAGTAAAAAAATTCATCAGGTTTTGATTTTCCCTTTTAAAGCCTCACATTACAGTAAGTTTCCAAAGGATCATTTCTCCAGCTCAGCAGTTGCCTGCAATTGAAAAACAAAAAAAAAAATCATCAAATTGTTAATTAATTTGACACCATGAATCAAAGTCAGAACCTTTTTTCTCTAACCCACCTAAAGGATTGAGGTTTATGTTCAACAGAACCTTTCCCAACATCTCCATACAACATCACCTGATAATACATCAACCTGTGCTTATACCTTCTAGCCATCCTCCTCACATCCTCATCATTGCAAGATTCATGAAAGAGCTCTTCGCAAACGCGAGGAGCGAATTCGACCCTAACGAGCCTCGGAGAGACCATTACAGCCTGGAAGAAGTGGAGGGCAACCTGCCATTCATCATTCTGCAGCTTCTTCACAACTGACAGAAAAAAGTATGAGCAGCAGATTAAGTACTGGTTGTGAATTCCAGCTGTGACACCATCCTCTTCAAGCAATGCAGGAACTTGAAGCATTGATTCTGCCTTCTTCAACCCATTTGTTCTTTTCTCCTCAACCTCCTGTGCCTGCATTGCTGAGTCAATGGCTTCAATTCCCCAGTAGAGGTTTGAGATGACTGAATGTTCAGAGAAGTCAAAATGCTTCTCCTGGTTTTGCTGGACAATGTTGCTGAGCCTGGAAGTGGAAGCTGACTTGAGGGAATTCCATGATGAAGGACTGGAGATGAGCTGGTGAATGTGGTCAGTGATGGAAGACACAACTGATTTTGTTGATTCAATGTCAGGTGTCTCTTCATCATGGGAGGAAGAGATGGAAGAAGCCATGGAAGAAGGAAGGAAGGAAGAGTAGAGCTTGGCTGTAGAAGTGTCAGATGTTCATGAAGGTGGAAGATGACAAATGAAGATGAGAAGTTTCTTTCCCCTGGAGTGGAAGAGATAAGAGGGAAACAAGGAGATGGAGATGGAATTTTGATCAGAGAAAAGGTTTGCTTCCATTTTGTCTGTTTATCATCACTGTTGTCTTTTGTCACTAAATGGCGTGACTACTTATTTAATTCAGTTCCAGCACTGGTTAACATAGTATTGGAAGTTTAATTCGCGTTAATTATTGAGCTAAATTCAATTATGAGTGCTCTCGTTTTACATTTCTAATTTCTTTCTCTAACTTAAACTTTGGAGAGTGCCCAAATTTACCTCGTCGGTAAAATTATGAGAAGATTCTGTTGGGCATGGGACTCGGGCCTAACCACGCCAAGGAACCGGGCGCAACTGGATGAGACCCCAACACGGCAGCGCGAGGACCCCGAGTGTGCCGCCTCATCATGGCTAACCACGTCCAGGCGCGAAGAGATGACAGGCGCTAGGGGAGGACAAGCGTAGGCTGAACCAGAAGATAAGGGAAGCGCACCTCTTCCAAGCGGGTAGTCACATCAGGGCCATGAGTGGATCTCTGACTCATCCTAGGTAGAGGGATGGCCTAAAAGCCTTAGTGGGCTAGTGGTCACATCATTGTATCCCAGTAGTCACATCACTGTATCTCTCCCTATGTCAACCACTCACCCACCACCATGAAGCCTATAAATATGGCATTTACTACGGTGGGTGAAGGGGATCGCATTTTTCACCATTCTCTCTCTAGAAGAACTACTTCTCTTTCTAGTCTCTCTCTCACTCACTCTCTCTGATTCTGATTCCTCCGATCAAACCCGACTCTCACGTTTCTTCTCGACCCAAACTCTCCTTCGAACCTCACTCCTACACTCAGTTAGGTTCAAACAATTGGCGCCCACCGTGGGGCCGAGAGGAAACGCTGAAAAAGACCCACCAATGGCAGAGCGCAATCTCGAACAACCTGACCAAGCAACGCCGATCAAGGCGATGACCGACCCAAGGGCGTTCGCAGAAGCCAGCAACCTCAACGCGGTACTCATCGAGGAAGAAGAACCGGAGCTGACGCCCAAAGAAATGAGGGAGCTGTTGACGAAACAAAACAACGTCATAGCCGACGTGCAGAGGCAAATGAGCCAGGTAATCGCGCTCATGATGAGCAAGGAAGGCGCGCCAACGACGGACGCGACAGCGAGCGCGCCTCAACAAGCCTTGGGAGAAACTTCAGGGACAATCCTGTCGTCGCAACTCGCGCCAGCGGAACTTCCCGCACGCGGGACACAGGAAGTCGAACCACCGGGGCGGGCAGACCTCAGCTTCTTGGAGCAACACCTGACTCCGCAGTACCGGCCAAACCCGCCCAAAAGGACCCTACACCAGCCATTGAGCGCGCAAATAATGGCAGAGAACCTAACCGGAGCGCCACCAACCCTCCCGACATACAACGGCACTACCGACCCGGAGGACCACGTGAGCACCTTCTGCCTGCGCATGCAACTCCAAACCAACTCCAACGCCGCGCTATGCAGAACCTTCCCCTCGACATTCACCGGGATATGCCTCGATTGGTACAACCGCCTCCCCAATGGAATCATCAACTCGTTTGAGGAGTTCATACTTCTGTTCACCACAAAATTCGCGTCCCAGAAGCGACGCCCCCTCCACCTCAAGGCCCTGATAGATATCAGGCAAAAAGACGGAGAAAGCCTGAGGGCTTTCTACGCCAGATGGTCCCGGGTAGCAATGTCCGTTCGCGACCTTACTCCCGAAACAGCCGCCCATCACCTCATGGAGGCAACCAACAATATGGAGCTCAAACGGGCCTTAGCAAAAAGGCCCGTCACGCTGTCGACGGAGTTGGAGATGAAGATCGAGAAGGCAATCACGCTGGAAGAAACCTTGGGGGCGGGATCCGTCAGGCGCTTCGAACCGGCGAGAATGTCGCGAGAGGAACAGACGCGTCGACAACCTCCGGCCCCAATCCCACGGGACCAACTACTACAGATGCACAGTGGTCCGAAGCGCAACCCCCCTCCCCCACCAGAGCAGGGACAGCGCGGGCGATCGCCAGACAGGCGCGTATCCAATGCCTACACGCCCCTCAATGACTCCGTGAGAAACGTGTTCCACGTCCTCCGCGAGAAAGGATACAAGCTTAACTGGCCTGCCCCGCTGAAGTCTCAACCCTACATGCGCGACCCGAGCAGGCATTGTGAATTCCACAGAGCAACGGGGCATAAGACAGAAGAATGCCGAGAGTTACGGTACGAAATAGAGGGCCTCGTACGACGAGGGTTGCTAACTGAGTTCATCCACGTGAAAAAGGAGCAAGTCGAAGCGCCGCAACAACCACCCCCACCCCCACAAGCCGATTACGACGATGACACAGGCGCGTATGTAGTGCGCAAAGAAATCGGGGTGGTAACGGTCGAAGGAGATCGTCCCAAGAAGAAAACCAAGCGTGAGCGCGCAACGGAATGCGCGGCTGTCGACGCACCGCCAAAGTTCAATCTGAGCTTCGGCGACGCGGAGTTCCCACAAGGAATCCCGTCGGAGGAGCCACTCATCGTCACCGCGCTGATTGCCGCCTGCAAGACCCACCGTCTCCTGATAGACGGGGGTAGTGCGGCCGACATCCTCTTCCAGAGTACCATCAACAAAATGGATATCGATCCGCGCCTAATCAGGCGCGCACACGGCAACTTAGTTGGTTTCTCCGGAACCAGAGTCCCGGTAATTGGAGTGGTCACCCTCCCAGTGGTTATGGGGGACCAGGAGCCCCGCGTCTCCAAGCAGATAGAGTTCACAATCGTCGATTGCGAATCGGCGCACAATGGCATCTTGGGCCGACCTTTCCTCGCGAAGTTCATGGCCCTCCCATCGACGTGTCACCAGAAGCTCAAGTTTCCAACACAGGGAGGAGTCGGGGAGGCGCGAGGAACGACTTGGGAAGACCGCGTTGGGGCACGCCAAACCAACATCGTCGACACAAGAGCAGAAGAGCCCCGCCCGGAATCCATGGATTCCGATTTCGAGGTCGCGCTAGACCCTGCCGAGCCGACCAGGAAGATACGCATCTCCACTCACGTCAGCAGCAACGCAATCGAACCACTCATAGCGCTGCTGAAGGAGTACAAGGAGCTCTTCGCGTGGTGCACAGAGGACATGCCAGGAGTGCCCAGGGAGGTAGCGCAGCATAGCCTCGCGGTCCCAGCCGGCGCCGAACCAAGGCAACAAGGGCGGAGAACGTTCACCGGGGACAAGCTGAAGGCGATAGAAGAGGAGGTTGCGCGCCTGCTAGCAGCCGGATTGATCCGCCCCGTGAAGTACCCGAAGTGGCTGGCGAACGTGGTCTTGGTCAAAAAATCGTCAGGAGCCTGGCGGATGTGCGTCGACTACACCACAATCAACAAAGTATGCCCGGGAGACCCTTACCCCCTGCCGCGCATCGACCAGCTGATCGACGCGACCGCCGACCACGAGACGTTGTCCTTCCTCGACATGTTCTCAGGATATCACCAAATCCAAATGTCCAAGGAAGATGAAGAAAAAACGGCTTTCATGACGCCTTTCGGGAACTTCTGCTTCGTAGGTATGCCGTTCGGGTTGAAAAACGCGGGCGCGACATACCAAAGAATGATCGACGCAGTTTTCTCGCAGCAGATCGGGCGGAACATCGAGGCGTATGTGGACGACCTCATCGTCAAAACCAAGGCGGGTAAGTCACACCTGGAGGACCTGCGCGAGACCTTCGAAGCCCTCCGCAAGCACAGCCTTCGCCTCAATCCACTCAAGTGCGTCTTTGGAGCAGAGGCGGGGAAATTTCTGGGGTTCATGATAACCAAGCGCGGCATAGAGGTCGATCCGAAGCAAATCACCGCGGTCCAACAACTACGAGCGCCGCGGAACGCATTGGAAATCCAATCTCTGAACGGCAAGATAGCGGCACTGGGGAGGTTCATACCAAGGTCCGCTGACAAATGCGCGCCCTTCTTCCAGACACTCAAGAACGGGACGCGCTTCGCATGGTCCACGGAATGCGAAGCGGCCTTCCAGGAATTAAAGGCGTATCTTGTATCCCCCCCTGTACTGACCGCTCCCAAGCTTAATGAAAAACTTTTCTTGTATCTCGCCGTGTCAACAAGAGCCGTGAGCGCGGTTCTGATATCTAGGAGGGATGGCAGGACTGAGCAACCAGTGTATTACACCTCGCGCACTCTCGTTAGCGCGGAAACAAGATATTCCTCGATCGAGAAAGCTGCCCTGGCGTTAGTGAGCGCTTCACAGAAACTGCGCCCGTACTTTCAAGCGCACCAGGTCACCGTCCTGACCAACCTGCCACTAAAAAAGATTCTGACTTCAATGGAAGTGTCGGGGCGCCTGGTCAAATGGGCGGTGGAGCTCTCGGAGTACGATATTCAATACGCGCCGAGGCCAGCAATCAAGGCCCAAATCTTAGCGGACTTCATCGCGGAAGGGGTGACCCTCGAAACAACGCCGGAGGGCGTTTGGGAAGTCTATGTCGATGGAGCGGCAAGTAAGCATGGCGCCGGAGCAGGGGTTGTGGTGCGCACACCTGCCGGCGTAATGCACGAAATCGCAATCAGGTTCAGGGCGTTGAAGACAAACAACGCCGCGGAATACGAGGCCATCTTGGCAGGGATGACGGCCGCTCACGACCTCGGGGCACGAACGGTACGTATACTTTCCGACTCCTCCCTGGCGGTCAATCAACTGAATGGTGCGTTCGACGCAAAGGAAGACACACTGGCGCATTACATGGAGCGCGTTAAGCAGAGGGCCACAACATTCGAGTCGGTAACGTATGCGCAGATACCAAGGGAGGAAAATGCGCACGCCGACGCATTATCCAAGCTAGCAACGGCTACAGACTTCGAGTCGACGCGTCTCGTGTCCGTCCAAAAAGAAGAAGATGAAACCTCCCCGGGGGTAGCAGTCAACACGACCCAGCTCGTGCCATACGAAGATTGGAGACACCCAATTATGAAGTACCTCCAAGAGGGGGCGGTGCCAGAAGACCCCAAGCAAGCTTGGGCTCTAAGGCAAAAGGCAGCTCGTTGCACGCTCATTGAGGGAGAATTATACCGAAGGTCGTACTCGGGTGTATACCTCAAATGCATTGGGCAGGAGGAGGCGCGCGACCTAGTGCGTG